AAACGGTAAGCCGAGGAAAGCACTCGACGCGAGTCGAGTGTCCCTTTTCGTGGTTCCTTTCAAGTTCTCTTCCGGGAGCCAAGCCGAGTCCTCCACTGCTTTTAAGCTCGTTCTCGTTCGACCGAGGAGCGAGAAGCTGTGGCAAGCAGCTCGGATGCCAAGAGACAGGTTTTCGGCACAATGCCTTTAGGAGCCGGTTACCAGATGCATCAAAAACAGGGCCGGGGTCGACGAGGCTGCAAGCTCTCTCTCTCTCTCTTCAGGATACGCGTCAGGGGACCGAGGGTGGACGGGGGAGTAGGTCTCTCTCTCCCTCTCTCTCTTTCTCTTCGGTCTGGAAAAACGTCGAAAGGACTTAAGTCCGCCACCCAGCCTCCGAGGAGAACCGCGAACAAGCGGCAACCGAGAAGGAGGCACGAGATAATGCGGCTGGCACGCCGTAAACATTCGCGGGCACAATATGAAAACATTATCGGAGGTAAGCCGGTAGGCACACAGCAATGTGCTGAGCTTAGCTCGGGAGAGGCTGCGCTGCAGCGGCCACCTCTCAGTACGCCCGGTGCACTGCCACGTCAGGATGTCAGGATTTCAGGCAGGTACTCGTTCGCCGGATTCACGTGGTCGAAAACCACTCCCCGGGCAGGGTGGAAGGACAAGGGCCGACGCGAAGGAGAATATGCGGAATTTTCGGCGTGTGGGTCGGCCTGGCGCGCTGCTCGCTGCTGCTGGTTGATGCTCGCTAGCTGCTGGCTGCTGCAAGCGCCGCGCCCACCTAACCGCTGAATCCGTTGATGAAACTGACGCCGAGTTTTTGCGAAATTGTTCCTTAACTCGCCGGGAAGGCCGCGGGAAATTCGGGGATAATCGAGACCGCGCGGAATTGAAACGCCGCCGCATCGCCGCACCGCTGCGCCGTGCCGCGCCGTAAGTCGCCAACCCGCTGCGGATGCTTTGTACAATCTTGATGAACCGAAGTCAATTTTCTCGGAACTCTTTAGCGGCGAGAATATGTCATGGGCCTGCAAAGTTAAAGAACCAGTTTACTGTCTTGGGAAATATAGGACTTGAGAAATGTAGGACTTGCGAATGATTTAGTCGGATGAGTTCTGACGCTGTTGGAGGTTTTATGGTTGAACGCGTTAAAGACTTGCGAAGGACAACTTTGATTTTTTCATTGGAGTTAACCGAGTTCTAAAATTAACTGACGCGTATGGTGTATAGTTTTGTAACGAAATGTGTGTACCTATTTATGTAGACCTTACACTACTGCTATTTTATTGTATGCTTGGATTAAGAAATTTAGAGAAAAGGTTTTTATAATTTCAACAAACCATGTGAAGCCAGTCATTTTGGCCAGCTCGGTAGATTTACTGTTAATATTGATGGTGGCTCGTTGTTGTCTACAAAAAGCTACTAAGCGGTTTATAATGAAGAATCATTGGTTGCGGAGTTGAGTATTACTAATCATCATTTTCTTAAACGATATTGGTATTCTAGGCTATCATGAATTAACTCGAGCATTTTTGTTTCACTTATACGATTTCCTACCTTGAACAAATCTATCGAAATGTAAAATTAATTAAAAGATTGGCTAGTATTATTAGTTCGAAAGACACGTTGAAGAAATGAATTATGGATTATTTTGATGCAGAGAAGTCTGCACATATTTGAAGTATTTAAAATATATAAAAAAAAATATATAAAGTAATATCAATCTTAATGCAGTTTCATCGCTTTTGTGAAATTTTTGCTTAATCTTGAATCCAGTGTGACCACATTACGGAGGAATTTATTATCCTCCAGTCTCTTCTGGTGATTATATTTACAATAGCGCGTGGAGAGATTGTTTCAATGTATAATGACAAAAATGAAGAGTTCTTTCATATTCACTAGAATAAAATGTAACAGCCAGACTCTGCATCTTCTTTACCAGGGATCAATTGTTTACTCTTGTTTCTGATGGATAAAATTCCCTAGAATAATCAACGTGTTCTCTGAATCATCTTTCAAATAGTACAGTATTTTTTTCAAATGATTTTCATTTCTTAGGAACCGTACAAGTAATCAAAGGTGCTGAAAATAAAATAAAATCGTAGCGTAATTTTTGCAAGTGAAATGAAATTGAAGTGAAAGATATCAAGATTTTATTTTTGTTTTAACATATTTCTTCTCGATTTCAAGTAAAGTCAAGTCTTCAACGATCTGATTCTCCAGCGATCGAACATCTCCATCTCTTGCCATTCAAGTTCTCCATTGTCAGCCAGAGCCCTTTTGGAAAAATTATCCCAACGTTTCGTTAGTATTGCAGCGAGCTTCGACAGGAGGTAGAGTGGCGCACTGATACTGTTGCGTGTCGCGTGGTGATTCACTATTAAAATGCACGCTGCTCATGTTCCGGATCAATAGCCACCAACCAGAGATTTTAATTGGTCAGTTGAACAGATTGAGTTCAGGTAGTCCACTGTACTCTATTGATATTTCTAGGGTAGTTCATCTTCCATTGCCCTATGCATTTTCTGATCGAACATCCACGACGCTTCGTTAGTTGCACTACAAGCTTCGACACCGAATATATTCGTCGACTTTACATTGATCTTCTTCTAGGTGTCATCTACGTTCATCTTTTACCGACAAACATTCACTATTAGACAGAAATCTAGCTTTTCTGGAAAAGAAAAAAAGAACTATGAACATGATACTGTTGCAAATTATAGTATTTCTTCATTACATAAATATGCTGTGAAATGTATTGCGACTCGCGTAGGTGTGTCGATTAAAATTGAAACACTTTAAACATTAACTCTAGAGTTCCTAACGGGAGAGAGGCTCATCGATAAGGACTTACAATAATAAATTAAACCGATTTCCTATGCCCAGACTTTTATACATAAAATAAAGAGAATATTAAATACTCCAAAATCTCATTTCGAACATTTTTTTTGCAGGAAAAGAAATCCATTCAATTTATCATTGTTGAGCTTGTGGGTTTTTGGCGGCGGTCGTAGTGTGTCTGTTCGGTTGGGAAAAAGGAGAGGGGAGACGTTTCGTCCGGGGCCCGCTAGAGGACTCATCAGTAAGGCTATCCTAGCGGGCCCTTGCCTTAGACGTGGGGGTAAGGACGAAACGTCTCCCCTCTCCTTTTCCCATCCGAACAGACACACTACGACCGCCGCCAAACTGGTGACCCCGACGACGAACACAACGCGACGCAACCTCCCGATCAACCTACATCATTATAAATATTGTACATAGTAGCTTTAAGACTCAGAATGTAGGTTGATTCAGTTAGGATCAGGTCAGGTAATATTTGCACTACCTCGGCATTAACACGTTCCGTGCCGAGCTTTTTTTACTCGAATTTTCACACTTTGATATTTTACTAAAATTTGATGTATTACGTGCAATTATTAATTCTCGTACACATAACAACGTAACAAAAACTTATCAACGCCCATTCTTGCGGTGGAAATTGATTCTTCGGTTCTAAATTTCTTGTAAACAATTTGTTCAGTTCACTAAGTAAACATGCAAGCGTGTACCATCGATGGTACACGTGGCACGGAACGTGTTAAAACGCGGTCAAGTCAAGCAGAGCTACGAAGGATCATCCTTACGACCGCGTCGATGCCCATAAGGTATAGCAAACATCTAGCATGGAGAGGACCACCATATCTTAGATATCGTTACCCACTGGCGGGAGGGGGTGGGGGGTATGTGGCGGTTGGGAAAAGGAGAGGGGAGACGTTTCGTCCGGGGCCCGCTAGAGGACTCATCAGTAAGGCTATCCTAGCGGGCCCTTGCCTTAGACGTGGGGGTAAGGACGAAACGTCTCCCCTCTCCTTTTCCCATCCGAACAGACACACTACGACCGCCGCCAAACTGGTGACCCCGACGACGAACACAACGCGACGCAACCTCCCGATCAACCTACATCATTATAAATATTGTACATAGTAGCTTTAAGACTCAGATGTAGGTTGAGTTAGTTAGGATCAGGTAACATTTATACTACCTCGGGCATTAAAGCGCGTGTCAAGACGAGCAGAGCTACGAAGGCTCCTCCTTACGACCGCGTCGATGCCCATAAGGTATAGCAAACATCTAGCATGGAGAGGACCACCATATCTTAGATATCGTTACCCACTGGCGGGAGGGGGTGGGGGGTATGTGGCGGTTGGGAAAAGGAGAGGGGAGACGTTTCGTCCGGGGCCCGCTAGAGGACTCATCAGTAAGGCTATCCTAGCGGGCCCTTGCCTTAGACGTGGGGGTAAGGACGAAACGTCTCCCCTCTCCTTTTCCCATCCGAACAGACACACTACGACCGCCGCCAAACTGGTGACCCCGACGACGAACACAACGCGACGCAACCTCCCGATCAACCTACATCATTATAAATATTGTACATAGTAGCTTTAAGACTCAGAATGTAGGTTGATTCAGTTAGGATCAGGTCAGGTAATATTTGCACTACCTCGGCATTAACACGTTCCGTGCCGAGCTTTTTTTACTCGAATTTTCACACTTTGATATTTTACTAAAATTTGATGTATTACGTGCAATTATTAATTCTCGTACACATAACAACGTAACAAAAACTTATCAACGCCCATTCTTGCGGTGGAAATTGATTCTTCGGTTCTAAATTTCTTGTAAACAATTTGACAGTTCACTAAGTAAACATGCAAGCGTGTACCATCGATGGTACACGTGGCACGGAACGTGTTAAAACGCGGTCAAGTCAAGCAGAGCTACGAAGGATCATCCTTACGACCGCGTCGATGCCCATAAGGTATAGCAAACATCTAGCATGGAGAGGACCACCATATCTTAGATATCGTTACCCACTGGCGGGAGGGGGTGGGGGGTATGTGGCGGTTGGGAAAAGGAGAGGGGAGACGTTTCGTCCGGGGCCCGCTAGAGGACTCATCAGTAAGGCTATCCTAGCGGGCCCTTGCCTTAGACGTGGGGGTAGGACGAAGTCTCTGTATATATAGGGATCGAGGCGGATCGGTTACTAGCGGGAAGAGGAGCCCTCTGCTGGCGGGTCTGGAGGTAGCCGCCACAGGTTCTAGGATTAAAACGATTATATTAGCTTGGCTGTGTTGCATGATTTTGAGTTCGAGATTTAGCACTTTTTTACATTGTTGCTTCAAAAATGTCATTCTTACTAAACAGAATCGTCGACACATCTTTAATAAATCGTTATACATTAAAATGCAAACAATTTCTCTGTGTGTTCTAGTTAGTAGTTTGCATATTCGACGGAAAAAAATAAAAAACTCAAAGAAGAACACGTAGATCTCGAGACTGTATCGATGGAGGTGATGATAGAGTATCGAAAGCGACTATATATAGGGCTGGCAATACAAATACCAAACTACTTAGAGAAGAGGGAAATGAGACTAGCCATTTGGGGCATACTACCCCTGAATTGGCTCACGCGACTGATCTTATCGCTCGCCAAGTCGAGTCCCGTTCGGGATACGTGGTACGCACACGCACACCCATACACGCGACCATGTAAGAGACTATCTTCGTAGCGGAATTGATTCCTTGCATTCGTTCTTTCCCTGAGACCCAGCTCGATGTCGGCTAGTCCTCTCTATTGATCGTGATAATTAACCGTGTACTGGAATATTAACGGAGATCCTATCTCCATGTCGTGCGCCAGGAGAAACTATTTGGAATCCAGGCTACGACAGTGCTAGCGCGCAAGTTTTCTGCGAGAATCTGATACTTCGTCAGATTGTCGTCACTTGGAGAAGTGGCAGAAGCTCCTCGATAGATCTGAAATGAAAAAAATGTGAATTGTAATTGAGTCTAGATCCCCGATTACGATATATTGGATTGGTAAGAAAATAACTTCGGTTTGCACCAACAGATAACGTTATGTTTACATTGTCATTCTTTTGTTTAGGTTATAATTTTTTTGTCTTTAGCTTTGGTAGTTGACACGTTTAGGTTACTATAGAAACAAATTCCGTGTAGTTTTGTTAACAACTGACAGTTTGCTGTCAATTTTAACATGGAGTGCAAAAATGAACATTTTCGACACATTTTACTTTTTTATTTTCATGAAGGCAAGAAAGCAGCCGAGGCTCGCAATGAGATATGCGAAGTTTATGGCGTCGATTGCTTAACAGAACACACGTGTCAGAATTGGTTCAACAAATTTCGTTTTGAAGATTTTTCACTTAAAGATGACCAACGTTCTAGTCGAGCTTCTGAAATTGATGATGACAAAATCAAAGCCATAATTGAATCGAATTGTCATATAACTGCACGAGAAACTGCAAAAAGGTAAAATGCATATCACATAAGAGGTAAATAGAGGTTGAATATCACATAAGATGTCTTGGACTTGTTAAGAAGCTCGATGTTTAGATTCCGCATGAATTGAAAGAAATTCACTTAACACAACGAATCAGTATATGCGATACGCATTATAAATGTAATGCAATCGACCCTTTTTTAAAACGGATTATCACTGGTGATGAAAAATGGATCGTTCACAATAACATTAATCGAAATAGGTCATGGTCCAAGCGTGACGAACCAGCACAAACCATATCGAAAGCTGAATTGCGTCAAAAAAAGATCATGCTGTCAATTTGGTGGGATTATAAAGGCGTTGTGTATTTTGAGCTGCTACCAAGCAACCAAACAATTAACTCAGATGTTTACTGCAAACAACTTATGAAATTGGAAGAATCAATCAAAGTGAAAAGGCCAGAATTGTTAAATCGCAAAGAAATCGTGTTCCACCACGTCGATGCGAAGCCTGATACATCCTTAGCAACACGTAGAAAATTATTGGAGCTTGGTTGAGAAGCGATGTCGCATCCTCCATATAGCCCCGACCTTTCACCATCGGATTATCATTTATTTCGAAGTTTACAAAACTTTTTGGATGGTAAAAATTTCAATAATAACGATTGCCTCAAATCACACTTGATTGAGTTTTTTACTGATAAGGACCAGAAGTTTTATAAGCGCGGAATCATGAAGTTACCAGAAAGATGGCAAATGGTCATCGAATAGAATGAAAAATATTTGACTGATTGAAGTTCATTTCTTGAATTTAAATTTTTTGAATTTAATTTCACGTTGAAATACCGAAAATACTTTCTTTCCAACTCAATATTAAACACGTTTCATTTCTGTTCTACAGATACTTTTTAAATAATTTTAAATTTCGTCGACGCTGATTTCTCAACCTTCACTTTTTAAATAATTGTTACTTAATTGTAAGTACCGTTCATTTATTATAACGAATAACTCGTGGGAGACCACACATTTTACACTTTTTCAGTTAAATTAAAAGAATTGGAGATTAAATGAATTGATTATGCTTTTACGAATTCTTCCAATGAAATATGTACAAAATAAAATTGTATCGAACGTGAAAATATTGTATGCTCCTTTTTCGAGTCAAACATTTATACACATCTTTTTTGTTAATTAATCTTCACAGTGCAGAGGGTTCTGGCTGTCCCATGGATGTGTATATCTAAGTCCACAGGGAGCCATACTGCTTTACCTTGTACAAACATTTCAAATTGGGTTTCCATTATCCGGAAAACTTGTTTAAGCTAATTTGTTTTCCTCAAAAAGCATTTGTGTCAATGAGAGCGCCCCTAATCACGACAAGGAAAATACATACGCTGACATTTATAACTGTATCAGTTCACTTTTCGTGAATTGACCCTTAAAGGATCATAAGGTTGCTAAGAGTAAATATTCTGTAACTCTTTAATTTAATTCGCTTAGACTTAAAATAAATAAAAATCATAAGAAAAATATACAACAATGTATAGTTTTTTTTCTTAATTTTATGGAAAATATTTTTCCCAATGGATTATAAAGGTAACACAAATTATGGTTAGGCTTATTATGCAATGTCTTTTATTTAATAGTTTATTACAACAAAATGTTAACTGAAATAATACAAAATTATGAAATAAAATTACTATACAAAATGATGTGCCAATTATGATATTCTGCGAAACAATTTCCTTTGGTTGTGAAGCAAAGATGAATATTGCACATAGTACATATATCATACGTCCTATTTGCTATGCGACGTTTAGCACAATTTGCACATCTTTTCATTATTTCCGTCTCTTGCATGTGTTGTGTGCTGACAAATTGCCTTTTGTACTAAAAATAACCAATAATTAAATACGACGATCACCAATTTTAAAATGAGGAAAAATGTATCCCTTAGTCGTGAAGGGGTTAAGAAGTGGTGCTTTATTTCTTTTATCCAAAAGAAATAAAGAAAGAAATAAAAGAAATTTCTTTTGTATAATACAAAAACCAAAACTCAAATATCGGACAATAATGCTTATTAGTAAACGTAGAATACTGAAAACAATTATTTCGTACCGACATTGGAAGATGAATAATATTCTGGCACATTTTGTATATTGCAACTGGAGATCACCCCTCAACCTTTCTAATTTCCAAGACGCAAACTAGCAAATGATAATGATTTTACCTTCCTCCAGCTCTGATCATTTCATCGATCGAATTGAATTACTCTTTAGACCACATTTTACAGCAAACTTTTCTAATAAAGAAATACTGCGAAGTCCGAGAAATGTAAACACCACTTTTACATCGATAAATAGTTTTAGAAAAATTGCTACATTAGAAAAGTTCTAGAAACATTATTAATATTGTGTAAGGGATGACTTTTCACCTGATTGAACTGAAACATGTAGCAGAGAGAGAGAGAGAGAGAGAGAGAGAGAGAGAGAGAGAGAGAGAGGCGAAGACACGTGTTGATTTGATATGTAAGAGATTCTCGTTATGCCTCGTGGAATCTGCTTTCCCCGATGTCTACAGTTGGCCCGTCACCATCTGTCATACTACAAGATTTCGATTCAAACCTGTCCGTGGACCGGACTTCCTCCGGAGCTGCTGCGTGACGGCGCACATAGCAAGCCCACCGCACTTCCCTAGGATCTTACGGATTACACAGGCCTCGGTCTTCGGAGTAACTCAAATCGAACTTAACAGTCGGTTAAGTCTGAGGTTAGTACGGGCCGTTTAGCTAGCCTATTTAGCCCGAAGGACATGAACTGTAAGCCAGCCGGCAACCCGAACGGCCATCAGAGGCATCCGAGGTCATAGAAACTTGCCAGTCTTATCTCGATTTGCATGAATCCATAGTTTGCGGCTTAGCTCCTTAGACGCAAGGACATCGGACATCGGAAGTCCTCGTCTCCCCGTCAACTTTCTCTTTCTTTGGAATTAACCGCGTGGCTACAAAATTTAATGACAGTACGATACTATCGTTCTAGAACAATTGCAAATTTTCTTTATCAAATTGTCTTTTCACTTTTGGGATATAATTTTTCAACATAAATTATACCTTAATTTCATTTTTAGGTTTTTTAGAACAACGCTAATGAACGCATAGGATCGATTTTGTAACAACGGTATTTAGAAAATAGTACTTTATATTTGGCTATTTTCCTTTACGATTAACACTAGATTTACAGAACCACTCAAAATGACGGGTCACTAATTTTTTAATTTACGATTACTCATACCGTAAAGATATATTTATGAGTTATTTATTCAATTTATATGTTACTTACGGCGAATGTTACAATAACATTTGTTAAAAACCAGAGTAAATATCTCATTATTACTTTTATACTATTGGGTTGACAGGGAAGTAATTTCGGTAATTCAATGTGAAATAAAACTAAATTTTTTCTATACAAGAAATGAACTTTAATCAGTCAACTATTTTTCATTCTGTACGATGACCTTTTGCCATTTTTCTGGTAACTTCACGATTCCGCGCTCATAAAACTTCTGGTCCTTATCAGTAAAAAACTCAATCAAGTGCGATTTGAGGCAATCGTTATTATTGAAATTTTTACCATCCAAAAAGTTTTGTAAACTTCGAAATAAATGATAATCGAGGATGCGACATCGCTTCTCAACCAAGCTCCAATAATTTTCTACGTATTGCTAAGGATGTATGAGGCCTCGCATAGACGGGGTGGAACACGATTCCTTTGCGATTTGCCAATTCTGGCCATTTCACTTTGATTGCTTCCTCCAATTTCATAAGTTGTTTGCAGTAAACATCTGAGTTGACTGTTTGGTTGCTTGGTAGCAGCTCAAAATACACAACGCCTTTATAGTCCCACCAAATTGACAACATGATCTTTTCTTGACAAAATTCAGCTTTCGATATGGTTTGTGCTGGTTCGTCACGCTTGGACCATGACCTATTTCGATTAATGTTATTGTAAACGATCCATTTTTCATCACCAGTGATAATCCGTTTTAAAAAAGGGTCGATTGCATTACATTTATAATGCGTATCGCATATACTGATTCGTTGTGTTAAGTGAATTTCTTTCAATTCATGCGGAATCTAAACATCGAGCTTCTTAACAAGTCCAAGACATCTTATGTGATATTCAACCTCTATTTACCTCTTATGTGATATGCATTTTATCTTTTTGCAGTTTCTCGTGCAGTTATATGACAATTCGATTCAATTATGGCTTTGATTTTGTCATCATCAACTTCAGAAGGTTGACCAGAACGTTGGTCATCTTTAAGTGAAAAATCTTCAAAACGAAATTTGTTGAACCAATTCTGACACGTGCGTTCTGTTAAGCAATCGACGCCATAAACTTCGCATATCTCATTGCGAGCCTCGGCTGCTTTCTTGCCTTCATGAAAATAAAAAAGTAAAATGTGTCGAAAACGTTCATTTTTGCACTCCATGTTAAAATTGACAGTAAAGTATCAAT